CTGCTGCTGCTGCTGCTGCTGCTGCTTTCTGTGCTCTTGCTGCTGACGGTGGCGGGGGGGGTGCCGCTGGTTGTGCTTGAGTTTGGTCTGAGTGTCTGTCCTTAGCTGCTGCCTGCACCCGCCAGAAAGCTGCAAAGGAAGAGACCGGGGGGCCCCTTCGGCTGCCAAAGCTTCCTCTGGGGGCCCCCCTCCTGCAGCAATATCAGCAACAGCCAGCAGGGTCATGCCGAAGGACTAGGGTGCAGCGCAGCAGCAGCAGCAGCAGCGGGTGCAGCAGCACCCGCCACAGACTGGCGAAAGTGGGGGGGAAAAGACCGAATCGGCAGCCAGCAGCTGTCACGGGGTGAACCTGCTGAGGATCTGAAATGCGCTGCGGGTGAGAAGCAAGAATTCAGCGAGAGGCTGAAGTATGTGCTGCTCGAAATGGGCTATTTAAATAAAAGGAAGTGGAAAAGAAAAAGAAGGGAAAAGCACTTGTGAAACCGAGAAGCTGCAGCGCGCAGCTTCTGCTTTCCCTTTGGAATTCGTGTTGTTCAAGCGCCGCGGTCAGCCCGTTAAAAACGCCCAACACCGACTCAAATAGAGCTAATTGTGCTTTGGTGGGACAGCTGCAACAAATAAAGGAATCAGGGAAAAGATAATAATGAGGATGGAAGAAGAATCGACGCGACGGGGCTGTTAAGGAACAGACAGAGTCGAGCCGACGCGCTGCGGTGACACCTCGCCATGCTTGCTCGCAAACGGAAAGGGAATTTAAGTCAATTAAAGCTCTCGAAGCAAAGAAAACATTTACTTCTAAGAATCCTATTTAGCGCAGATCGGGGCGAAGCACCTGCAAGAAGCCGACTTCCTCAGTCTCGGCTGCCGTGGCTAGCTGGCCAATGGCAGCTCCTCGCGAAGCTCCGCACGAAATACCTCTACTTGTAGCTCCAATTAAGCTGAATAAAAGGCTCTTTTTGAAATTAAGCTCTAATTTACTCTGTGCAAAGACGCAACAGCCAGCGGGCTTTACGCACCCAGCCACCTAGAGCCGACTCGACTCGGCGCAGACTTTGCAGTTCAGATCTTCCACTCAGAAACTCTCCATTCCTTCTGTCGATTAGCCTTCCCTGTTTAATTCATTATTTATATATTAAAGCAAATATTGAGAACCAGTTAACTTTCCACCTCATGCATGTTGCCGCCGCCGATGGGAGCTGTGATCTGTGTTGGGCCCCTGACACTTACACGTTCCTGTACCAATCCTTTACCAAAGAGGGGCCCGTGTCTTTGTTTCACAGCTAATTGTACAACTCCAATTTGGTCTTTAAAGGCATCTTGAGAGGAAAGTATCTCAAAAACTACTCCTTTTTATCTCCACAAAAGGTTACAGAGGTCTTCTTGCTTTTGAAATCCTCTTGCAAGTTGCTTGGATCTCAGGCCGGGCAATCAGAAAATCTAGAACTGGGATTGTGCATATTTGCAGCCACAGATAACAAAGGGAACAAAAAATAATCTTAATAAGGCAAAAAAAGCGAAAAAAACGGGAAATGTGGCTGTCCTCTCGAGCCCTGGCTCTTTACTTTAGTATTCATCAACTGGAGTCACAGAAATAAAAAGAGAAAAAATAATTCAGGTTCATATTTCATTCTTGACAAAAGATCTGCTGCAAAATGGCTCTACACAAGTAGAACTGCCAAGTTTGAGCCAGTGGAAACTTCAGTATACTTCATCTTGATTTTGGGTTTTGTTCAGATTCGCGTTTTGTGCAACTAAGAACCATAAAATGATAATTTCGAAGTATAAATGCAGCAATTTTCTCATTCTTGCAGTCTTTAGTGCAGCTAAAGGATTGAAAGATCTTCGAAATCTAAAAGTGGAAATTATTACCTTGTGGGGTCGCTGCAGTCAATAGAGGCGAAAATGATGAAGCAAATGCTATGGAGTTTATTCAACTTGTTTGTTTGTTGTCTTTAAACATTTCTTTTCAGTTTATACGTTTTTAAACACCAAAGAATGAGCCGCTGGACTCAGTTGAATTTCCTCGTTCAACATCATTCAACTTATTTCTGTAAGTCTACTTCCATTTAAACTCGCGACTCAGCTTCGCAGAGCCTCCACTTATTACTAATTTAAAAATATTTAAAATTTAAACAATTTAAATTCAATAGTACTATAAATGCAGTTACAAATAACGTTACTACAAGCCGCAGTGCAGCCACCAGAATAAGTTAAAGACCTTTAACTTTATTCTTTTAAAGAGCTACACAAATATCTTAATGTTATTTGAAGGCTGCAGCTCTATGAGATAATAAATCAACTTGAAATAATAAAGGCTTTTGCAAAAGACTGTGAGATAATAAAAAGTGGCAAAAAGAAAATATAAAATTAAACAAATTAGAAAGTGGCAAAAGAAAAGATAAAATAAAATACTATGAATTAAAAAGTGGCAAAAGAAAAGATAAAATAAAAAGTAACTACTTGGAGCAGTGAAGATTGTGAATTTTGAATAATTAAAAGCGGCAAAAGAATATTCTAAATGGCATTTTATAAAACAAAACTCTTGCCATTAGCATCTTTGCTTCTCCTCTGCATTAATCCATAAAAGAATAAAGTTATTTGCACTTTCTGAAAATGAAAAACCAAAAGTAAAGTTATTTGCATTTTCTGAAAATGAAAAGTCCAAATAATATAAATATAAACTGAAAGAGCAGCAATGAACAAAAGGCCTCGCTGCTGCATCTTTTGGGTGTTATTTATTTTCTTTTTAGGCCCTTTTAAAGATGCACTTCTTAATTTTATTTTATTTACTTTGAAGTGTTATTTATTCTCCTTTTAGACCATTTCAGGTATTCAATTTTCATTTTAATTTAATTCAATTTATTTATTTTATGACCTTCATATCCCACAAGTCTGCACGAAGCTGCGGGTTATCAAAACTAATTTTGTGGCCAACGCGGGGACTCTGCGAAAAAAAAACTTCACCAAGATTTGGCCTTTGGTGCAAAAATGAGGGACTTTCGGCTAAAGAAATGTATTTTAAAGAATAAAAGAACAACAGCAAAACAAGGGCAAAGAAAGTGGCCAAAAAGGCCACCAGTTGAAGATCGAAAACGCAGAAATAAAAGCAAATGAACGAAATATTTAATTTGTGTTTATGTGCACCGTACTGCGTTCAGGTGTATGTACAGGGGCGTGCAGGTGTATGTACAGGGGCCCTTGAATTGCTCTTTTTTCACTTCTTTTTTTCCCCTCATTTTTCTCTTTAATTCCTCTTTTTCCCCCATTTCAAAAGACTTTCCACTCTTCAAAACCCGCATTCTGCAGCTCCAGAGGTCCACTTCAGAGGGCCTTTGTCTCAGAGTTTAACTCAGAGATTAACTCAGCAAAAGACTCTAGTGTTCAGTTCTTAAGACTCCATTTTTGAATAATTCAATTTATTGCCAAGTTCCCCGTGGCCCAGGGCTGCAGAGCCACTCGTGGGGGGCTTTATATTTCAATTAAAATGTATTTGGCGCTGCGGCTTTCTGCTGCAGCAGATTTGCCTCACAGGCAAAACTGCTGCAGCAAACCCGCTGCTGCGGATTCGCCCAACTGGCGGTCTTTTGGGTTTAAATTAGTAAATAATTTAAATATTTGTTTTTTATTTGCAAGTTGATGCAACATTTCACTCACTTGGTGGGCCCAGCCAGCCGTGGGGCCCCAGCACAAGACCCCAGCTGCTGCAGGGTGGTGGTGGTGTATGTACGGGGGTTCGCTGGCTGTGTCGGGCTTGGCAGTTCGTCTTGAGTTAATTAATTAAAGAAATGAATTGTTTAGTTTCAAATTAATAATGAAATTAATCAATGCATCCATTAATTGCGCTTTCCTGCACACAACCACCCCGCCTAGCCAGGGGCTGTTGCTGTCTCAACTTTCCGCCAGGGCCGAAGGCCTTCTCTCTGTTGGCTATTTGCGGCGACCAAGACAAAAGTAGAATTATAAAAATGAATTAATTATTAATTGGGGATAAATAAAGGAGCTAAGCCGCAGGCGCAGCCCTCCGCGGGCCGAAGCCAACATGTGACACCTCAACACCCCAGGTGAACATACACCTCAATTTTTTCCCGCCGGCTTTCAAAGTTTTTTTTCAAAAAGTGAATCAAAATAAATAAAAGTTGGCGCTGCTGGAATGGCCTCAAATGGACTCCGGGGGGTGCCGTTTCACCTGGCTGTGAGGCCAGAAGCTCGGAACTAACTGGCAAGCAGCAGCGGGAAACCAGCTAGACTCCCAGCTCTGCTCCTGTTTGTATCTTTATTCTTTTTTATTTTATTTGCTGCTTCTGCATTTGGCCTTTTATTTGCTGCATGCACTCCTTTGCTTCCGCCTGGCTTCCGTTTCTCGGGGTGTATGGACACCTCACCAGCCATGTCGCGCGCCAGCTGGCTCAAGGATTGGCTTCCTAGGCTGCTGCTGCATCCCTTTCGCTCTTCTCTTTCAAAGAAAAGGAAAGCTGAAGACAGCAGCAGCAGCAGCAGCAACGATGCGGTTAATCCGTTCAAGAAGCTGCGGCAGCAAATTCCATCGAGGGCACACGACAGACCTGCAGCCACACCGAGTTCGTTCTCTGCTGCTTACAGCTCACAGCAGCAGCAGCAGCAGCAGCAGCAGCAGCGGAGTGGAGTGTACGCGGCTCGTTCGTTAAGGGCTCATCAATTGACTCCTCTTGTTCACAAGGTGAGGAGGTCCTCCTCCGGACTTGTCTGCATTTGTATTTGCTGCTGCGCGTTTGCCTTTGCTGCTGCTGCTGCTGCTGCTGCTGCTTATTCTTTGGGTGTTTGTGGCTTTGCTGCGCCTCAGTGCCGAGACGCGGAGATAAACAAAATTGAAAAAGTCAAAACCAAACAAGCAGCAAACCGCGGGGTGTACAGACAGCTGCATTCTAAGACACAAGGTCTGCAGCAGCAACAGCAGCAGCAACAGCAGCAGCAGCAGCAGCAGCAACAGCAACAGCGGCTAGTGCCTCCGCTGCCGCTGCAGCAGCTGCAGCAGAATCTGCAGCACCCTCGACCTTTCCCCAGCTTACTGCCTGCTTCTGCTGCTGCTGCTGTGGAGAAGACGCAAACGAGTGTTTTATCCTGCAAAGGTCCAGCAGCAACTGCAGACACAGCAGCAGCAGCAGCAGCAGTAGCAGCAGCAAGCGGCTTCTCCAGTAACTCTGTCGCCGCACTGCGGGGCAACCGCCTGCGTCCTCTGCCCGCAGTCGCTGCTGCTACTACTACTACTGCTGCAGCAGCAGCAGCTGCTGCTGCTGCTGCTGCTCGGTCTACCTCGTCGCTGCCGCTGCTGCCGCGCATCTTTGCTGCTTCTCCTTTGAGGAGCCGCAGCACTTCGGCGTTGCCTCTGTTGGCTCCAGCAGCAAACAGACCCCCGGCTCTACTTCCCCAGCAGCAGCAGCAGCAGCAGCTACAGCAGCAGCAGCAGCAGCAGCAGCAGCAACTATTTCTTGGGCGGCAGCAAGGGCAAGCAGCAAAGCTGCAGAAGAGCAGCCGAAGTGAGGCGGGCAATGCACAGCGACCTCCGAGACCTCTCGAGTGCAGCAGTAAAAGGTACAGCAGCAGCAGCAGCA